TGACTATACTGACCCCTAAAGAGCAATTACTGAGAAACTGTACAGTTCAGGATAACCAAATATAGCAGACTAAAACCACAACAAACCCCAAAACACATTCAATTTCAAAGCATCTTTTCAATGCCTTCAAGTATTTGACACTCTGCACAAAGGAGCTCTTCACACGGTACAGAGAAGAGGCATAGAGCAAAGAAATTTTAACATACTGTCAGATACTGTGCCAACTTCATAAAAACAAAAAGTAATCAAGGTACCCCTTGAAGTAACAGCCGAGATTTTCAAACTTAACAGGAAAATTCACAGAAAACAAGTCCTAGATTCACAGCACTAGTACCGAAGCTAAATTATGAAAATGAGATACAAACCTAAATTTATGGATGTATTATATAAGGTTCCAGTCATTCCCCACTGTTTTCAGAGTCATCTCCATCAAGGGAAATGGAATTTAATCAATAACATAGCAGCCAGCATTTAAAAAATTAGTTCAGTTGATTTAGGCAAGATTAAGTGCTGGGGTTTTTTTTGGCAACTGAAATAGTCTTATTTTAGGGAAAGACCTAATTAGAAAATTCAAGAGTGACAGATGACAAATTTCTTTCAAAGAATATTTTTTATATTCAGATTTTTAAAGTGAATTCTAAATGATGATTAACAATTTTGCATCAAGTTTACAGCCAAAGTCTAAATTTAAGTTTAGACAAACAAACTGTACTTAACCCGTTGGTTCACCAACCAGTTTCACTTATAGTAGGAAAGTAACAGGAAAAAAGGAAACTCTGTTATCCTGCTGTTTGAGGTTCTCTGCTGATACTGTGCCTGAGGAGTACAATTCATGTCCATTTTGATACAATTCATGATGTTCACAAAGCATAACCTGTACTGCAATGAACAAAACTGACTTGCACTTGACCCCCTGCTCCCAGTATTACTGTACACATACCCGAAGTTGACTTTACAAAAGCAGCAAAACACCCATTCTGTTTGTCTGCTTCAGTTTTTCCAGAAACAAAATCCATGTAGGAAAGATTCATTTAACACTTTAGGTGGGAGGGGAAACAGGAGAAAATTTTTCAGTTCTGGAAGGTTAGAAACATGTTCCATTCATAAGAATTAATTCAAACATTAATGGAAAACTTAGGGAACAATGACCCCAGTTCCTGTAAAGCAATACTTCCAGTCCAAACTAGGAATACTTTTTCTCATTAAAAAAAAACCTCTCCCATACAAAAAACCCCAGAAGCTAGTAATTCTGCAGTCAGTAGCTTTGAAGTATCAGGTTCAAACTGAAGGTAGCAAGAGGACACTGTATAGTTGGTGCCAACAGAATTATATTTAACAAATGAGAATCCAAAAATATCCAATTATACGCCAACAGAATGGAAGTCAAGTTAGAAGCCAAATGATGATCAAAAAGAATCAGAGACATGCCAAGATTGGCCAAAGATTCCCTTTTTCTATTTCAATCACCGAGATTTGTGTTAAAGCACAAAGCCATCAGCAATATGCTGTTACAGTAAGTCACCCAGATGCACTTAGGACCAGAGCAGGGCATGTGCTCAGTATGACCACAGAACACAGCAAGAGGGAACAAAAAAGAATAATCTCCTGGCAACACACTTTACTTGTTTCTGCAGGATAAATGTACAATGCCAGTATGCTGGAAGAAGCAACTACCTGAGAAAAAGAAGGATTTTTTTTGGGGGGGAAGTAATACATACCCATCCTGGTGAAAGTTTAGGGTGAATTTCTTCAAACAAGAAATTAAATTTGGCAGTGTGGCTGAATTATGAATTCTATGAATCCCTAAAATTTGGAAATCTACGTTACCCTAAATATATACCTAGATTATATATCTAGAATAAGTTCTCCCATATTTTAAGAACTTTTTGCCCTTTGTTTTTTCACTTTTTCTTTTATCTAGAAATTAGAAAGGATTACTTCTTTACCATTTCTATTTGATTTATTTTAGGCTTGACAAAATAATAATTCTGGATCCATGCTTTCTTTGCTCTGTAAGGATGCTGTAAGTTAATGTTGCAACTAAGGAAGTAGAGGGCTGTGCAGAAATAATTCTTGTATTAACAATTACATCTGATCAACGATCTCAATCATTATAACAGCAGCAAATAAAAGTGACTGTAAATATAATACACAAGATGACTACAGAACTTTTAAAACTTTTTAATCTTTAACATGTTCCATCAGAAAATGGAGCATTGTGCTAGTCTTATGCTTTGGAAATTGATGCATTAAGTATGAGTAACCTACCCAAGGCCACAAAAGTAAACATTATCAGCCAAGATAAAACCTCCGAAGTTCAGCCATGGAGCCCTCTGAGCAGACTATAGCAGTGTCTGTGTAGACTATACACTATAATAGAGCAATAAATCTCATTCAACATTTGAAAGCCTATCCCAGCAAGGAAGTTCTCCACAGAATTACCGAGTTTATCATGGTCAATTTGTCATTTCAGCTGGGATTTTTCTCTATTTTGTCCACTGCTGAGCAACGTAAACACTTCCAGTGAAGCCCTTAGTGTGATAAACCATGTGGTGCACATGTGTACACACACTGCAAAAGGACAAAGCAATTCTTATTTCATTCAGTTAATATAATGGAAAAGTTTTAAATGCTACACTACTTCTTCTTCCAAAGTGGACCTACCATAACTGTGATCCTATAACCAGTTTTCCGTTTTTATTTACAGGAAGATCTCTTATTTGTCAGAATCTCTGACAAAAATTATTAGTCCTATATCCACTATCCTGAGAATTTCTAATCTGTAAAGATCTACGGAAAATTTAATGACAGGATCAATTTACTACTCTGAAGAAGTTAAAACCAAAAATAATATCTGGATAGGGTTCAGTGGGGAAGAACAGGACATACTTTTCATAAATTACACTATACTGCAAAGATAATGTGAAATGTAATGAAGGGGTGGGTGAAAGGAAATACAAAAAAACCTTTCACAAGCACAGAGACAACACTTGAACTCCAATTACCTGCCATTTAAGCAACAAACCTGTCTTCAGCCCTTTTGAGAATGTTTTCCCCATTCCATGCATAACTGAAGAGATCTCAATTTTAATACCATGCATATCAAATAGTGCCTTTGGAGAACTGAATGACTGAAATCTTAAGCCAAAATATTAGATAGGAAAAGGAAAGACCTGCAATGCAAATATGCAGCTCACAGAGAAAAACCAATTTAGAGGAATGGTAAAAAAAAAAAATAAAGGCACAATCCTCTGGTAAGGTCTGATAACAATTTGAACAGAGGGCAACAGTGGTCAAGCAATTCCAGGTGTTTTCATGAATATGTATATATTTGTAGTGCATCTGCATCTATTTCATTCAGTTTTTACCTTCTTGGTGCTCTTCAGTAATCAAGTATTTGATTTGTAAGATGCTACATCAGTGCCAGCAGGCACAAAATGGTATGATAAATACACCCTTCACAAAATATAAAAGCCACATTCTTAGTGAAGAAAGTGTAACTTCAGCTAAATGGAAATCTGTATTTCCCTTTAATATTTTTAAAATAGCTCTGCTCAGCCATCTAAAGAGTCCCAGCTGCCACAAAAAGTCATACCAACTCCAAGCCCTGCTCTGTTTAAGTTTCTGTTGCATAGCTCACATCGTGAATGCGAACAGCATACTTCTTGCTTAACTAGACCGTAAGAAATTTCTTAGTAGACCAAGTGAAAAAACAAATCTGGTAATTTTTCCATTTTAGCAATTCATTTGAAATCAGTTCCATTACAGAAGGATCAAGTCATTGGTTCTTGTTTTATCACACGCTTTATAAAGACAGGTTTGTTACAACAGCCTTGAAGGGGACCGGCAGTTAGGTTCCCCCTGGTCACATTCTTGGGGAGAAACACCTTGGAAGAACTGTGGTTCAACAGGACAGGGCTTCTGCAATTTACGGCTGGGTGTCCCTCAGGGACTAAAGCCACAGAATTAGTGCCAGGTGGCACCACAGATTTCGTAGGGAATAAAATTTTGTTTTGTTCTAGAACAACATGTTTTACAGAAGAGGTGGAGGCACCAGATAGTGATTCTTTTATCACTTCATTTGGGATCTTGCTATATAGGTAACTGGGGGCATTATTTTCCATTATATCTGACCAGGCCCTGTAGCGAACCTCTGCAGATCCCCAGTAGTGTCTAATAGCAGACTCGGAGCGATGGCCTGTCACTGCCATTATTTCTCTAGGCCCCAGTCCTGCTTCACACAGTAGCTGGATGGTGGTAGTTCGGAGAGAATGGTTGGTGTACCGCTGAGAGAGCCGGGCTGCCACACTTATCCTGGGCATCATGGTACCCAGGTAGTTCACACCCATTGGTTCTCTTTTGTACCAGACAGACTGCTCTTGCATTTGCTCTGATGTTAGCTTTAAGGGGTGCAGATAAAAGGCAGGGGGTTCTGGAGGCAACTTAGACAAATAAAGTTCCAATGAATAAACAGGACAGTTTGGGTCACCTGGCATATCATACATTTTACCCATTTTATGAGGATCTTCTCCATTTTTTCCTTTGCCAGGATACCTAAACATAGCATATCGACGCCCGTTCTTGTCCTTCTCAACAACAAATGCATCTGGAGCCAGATCTCTCAAAATTTCCCTCCCTCTCTTGGCAAAATGCAACTGCAAATCAAACCACACCTTGTTGACGAGTGCCAGTGGACTGTGCAAACCCAGCACACCAGACTGTTTAATCTTACGCAAGTCCTCAGCGGCTATAGGAGGATGGTGGTGAGTCTCATCCTTCCCCTGCATGCGCAGCATCTTCAGCACGCTCACAAACACCATGTTTGCACTAGCAAACTCTTTGTCCTTCATTAAGCAAATCTGACGATTATACGGTGGCATTTTGAGATGCCGGTTTAAGCCAGCCCGCATTGACTTGTAGCTCGCCACACTGTAGGTATTTCCGTCATGATTTCTTATTGTGTAATAAAACTCTCTTAAGATATCATTGAGTTCACTTACTGGGACCAATTCAAAGCTAGGATCCTTGCCATTTTTGGCCAGCCACTGTTTTAATAGGTTAGCTGCCCAGCCAGTCTGCTTGTGGGTGTTTTTGATGCTCTTAGCATCCTCTTCCTCTTCCTCCAAGCCAAAGAGGACATCCTCAGGAAAGTTAAAATTCGTCTGTGCTGCTTCTACTGCTTCTTTATTTTCTGATGAAGTCTCTTCCTGTTTCAACTGCTTTTCGAAACAATTGATCAAAGTTGTACCATCAAATATGCCACAGGTATACGGCACACAATGAACTACTTTTTGATCTGAGAGCTGTGAAGTGTGGAGTAATACGTAATATTTTGGATTTTATGTAACAAAAAGCAGGTGGCATTAACTGGATTTTTCAAATGATATGGCATGTCAGTTCCGTACCTCACTACCCAATTAAAATGTATCGGGTCTTTTTTAACCATGGCATTACACATGCTTTAACTGATTTCTTGGAAAGCAAACCTAGAACATACACAACAACAGAAGACTGAAAACTGGAAAACATCCTATGTCGTATTTCCCTCCTCCTTGCTCACCTTCCGTTGCTAAATGCCACTATCATACACAATCTGGTTTTCCAAATTTTTTTTCCAGGTTTCAGACTCTAACTGAAAAAAATTCCAGAATATGCATCCTATACTGAAAATTAAATCTTAAAACCGTACTTCTGTCATCCATTCTTGTACTGGATTTCCTATGTATCAAGTACTTACAAGTGTTTTAATAGCTATAATCCACAGGTATCTTTGAAAAATGAAGTTCCAAACAACCATTTGCTATGAAATGCCTTAATAAGAAGGTAGAGTGAGACACAGTTTATACACTAAAATACTGGCTACCTTTGCCAGACTGTTCCTGTGACAGGTGAAAACCAGAACGATGTCCAGTATATTTTCTTCTTGCTTTGAAATACAATTTAGATTTAACTGTACCTTGAACACTAATGAATTTGGAAATTTTGGCTAGAATAAATGAATTTTATTCACTTAATAAAATTACTTCAAACAGCAACATATAACTATGAGGTGCTTTCTGAAATACCTATATAGAGAAAGAAAATTATTTATGAATAATTTTAAATAGTTTAATTTCAACTTTTAAATTTAAAAGCAAGTTCAACAAATTTTAGACAAGGAATCCAGAAGTACTACAAGTTCTCCTTTATCATGAAGTAGCTATTCCTGAAGAAAGTTTCTTTTGCTTTTTTTTTTTTTTTCTATGACATCTAGCAATCAAACATCAGAATTCCAATTTTAACTTCTGGATTAACGTGGAAATAAGAGTACTTTAATACTTTATAAAGTATTTGCAGCTTTAAGTTCAAGCCCTTCAGACAAAGATGGGGCAGGTTTTCTTTGTATATTAACTCTGTTTTATCAGACAAATTTTTAGTGTGCTCCTGATTTACTAACTCATCTGCCTACACAAACCCCATCAGAAAACTTCTGAAAAGACTACCAGAAGTTCATGCTGCAAATAATACTCTGAATCAGAAAAAGAAAAATACAAACGGACAGAAACTAGAAAGGATGGCACAGAGAGAAATTAAAACTGTTTCATTATAAGCAGTAAAGGTAAAGAAGTTTTCTCCTGTGGATTGTAACTTTAGAATTTTATATAAAAACAATAAACAGCCTACCTGTGTTGTTCCCTCAGCAGTTCGCTTGTTTGTCGAAGTATCTGTTGGTGGCCTGCTTGTCTGGTTTTCTGGGGGGTCAAGAAAGTGTTCATTTGCAGTATTTAATCAGTACTAATTACTGCTATCCACTATACAAATTTGGAGACAATATTCAAAATTGTTTGGTACTAAACATTCAGTATGTGGCATATCTAACATTTAGCCCTTATTTTCAATTTCAAGTATTCAAGTTTGATTAATGTGTTCCCTTCCTTGTAAATTTGACAGTGTATTATAAACATTTTATGAGCAATACCCTTGCCTATCTGAGTACAGAGTATAACTCCAACCTGTCTTCTGTCTGTATGCAAATCGACATGATACTAAACTGAAAAAAATATTACAATTATTACATATTTTTTGACCAAAAAAATTGACTGAAAAATGGACTGTTAAACAGACTGCAAAATGTATAACTGAGAAGATTTGTGCAGGAAGACTGAGTATCTGTACTAGCTCAGTCAAGTATCTAAACGTAAGATGTTGCCTGAACATTTCATGTTAACATTTAAATCCAAATTCTCTCCCTTTTTATTTTAACCAGTGCTGGCCCAAATCGGTGTTTCACTTCTGGTGAGAAAACTATATACACTAAGGCTATGTGAACTGCATAAAATGAGACACATTTTTTGGACACATAGGTCCTTCTTTGTGTCACTGGGTCTCATCTGGCACAACTCCTTTTATGTTGTGTTAAATAATTTTTATTTGCTATAGAGCAAGGAGTCAATACAAAACATAAACGTCCAGTTCCATGGAAGACATATTGCAACATAGGTAACTTAAGAGATGGGAAAATTAAAAGAAACTAATTCTGATGTCAAGCTCTGCTTGAGTTAATTTTAACATTATATTGTGCCAATGATGAACTTGCTATAACTCCAACTCTTAAATCTCGAAGACCTCTTAGAAAAAAGAAACTCAGGTATGCAAAATCAAAAGTGCAGAGAATCATCATAGAATGGACAAGGACTGAAAGAAAGTATTTTAAAATAGTTAATCTAGATATAATTATTTGAACATTTATTGTGTTTAGAGACTTTATTTTAAATATTATAATTGTACTTCTTTGGAACTAGGTTAGAATTCAGTTGTGGCTTTTTCTCCCATTTTGTTCAGTTTCAAGTGTTGTGCAAATTAAGCTACTGATTATACTTTCCTCTCAGTATGTCTTTGCTTAGAAAGGCAGTCAAGTTATTTTGAGAGGCTGTACTAAAAATAAAGACCAAGTTGTTAATGGTAGAATAGAGGAGTTTCTGACTTCCTGCTAGGAATTACATAAATCAAGTTCCAAATAAAACAAAGCTTAAAAAGCCACACTGTTGACTCCTCCTAAGGAGGGATTATTTTCAACAATGTTTGAAACACATCTACCATACAGACGATTTTCATCTTGAAAATTTCAACAGAAATGCAAACCAGAAGAATCATCTCTCTAAAACACACTAACACAAATTTCCACAGAAGTGCAGTTTTGTCTTTCCCTCTGACAACTGTTTTCCTCTCCCAGTGTTAACATTCAAGCATAACTTACCACTCTTGGGTGCTGCAATGGTAGGTGGTTCAGTAGGTGCTGTATTATTAAATGAAGAGACAGGAATCTTCATCTGTAGGGGCGCTCGACTGCTGGTAGCAGTATAAAGTCCTGAAGTACCCACTGTGGGCAAAGAAGTCCTTGTGGTCTGGGCAACAGGATGTGCAGGAGAAACAGCCTGTACTGCCAATGTTGTGCCTATTGACCCAGCACTGGCCGTAGAGTTCCTTTGAATACCAGGACTGGGCACATGTGGAATGCTATTTGGTTTAGTTGTGTTAGCTGATGCCAAAGACACGGTAGTTTTGGTAAGGCTACCAACTGTAGATGAGTTTTGTACAGATATAAATTCAACATTGCCTGACTGTTGGTTAGAGACCAAAGTCCCTGGGTGGCCTTGCAGAAGCTGAGGCTGGGATGACACTGCAACAGGGACATGCAAGATTACAGGCAAAGACTGCAGTGAGACAGCCACTGACTGAGTACTTCCAGTGGGCACCTGGTTAGTGCCTACAACCGTAGCTGTGTTAGCTGTGGGAAGAACTGCTGTCGTCAAAGAGCTGGTGGAGGTCACTGGAGTCTGAAGCTTAGGATGTCCACTGACAACTGTTGGAGAAGGAGCAAGACTGGAAGCTGGCACTACACACAAACAAATTAATAAAAAAATTAAGTATTTGAATCGAGTGGGAAGTTTCACTGCAGCACAAGAAACGCCCTATTGTTTTAAGTGTTCAAAGTCAGGCTGGACAGGGCTTTGAGCAACCTGATCTTGTGAAAGATGTCCTGGCCCGTGGCAGTGGGGTTGGAATAGATGATCTTTAAAGGTCCCTTCCAACCCAAACCATTCTATAAAAGAGGTGGCGTATGATTCATTTTTTTTTTGCAAATAAAGGCTATAAATACTGTTTTTCTGTTGTACACTCTGATATGCAATGGCCTGGTTAAAAACACAGTCAATACTGTACTTCTGCTTGAAAGAACTGGCAAGAAAAAAAGATAAGGAATGATAACAAACAGGCTTGATTAAAGACCTCAGATTTAACTGCTGGGAACACATAAAATATAGCATTTTAAACACTCATTACAGGTACTGTAGAGCAACTGATCCTTCACAAAACACAAGAAAAGAGAAACTATGTCAATTATGATTAATTTGCCTTGTATAGGTAGGACTTTGCATCCAGAAGGTTCTACTTAAACCAAGTATTAATGTGTCAGAGAAAACACTCACTTTTATGCAACAGAATTTCAGGATTAAATCCAAAGATCATGAGCGTAATACACTACTGAAAGCCTATATATGTCTACTATGAGATAATTCTGTGGAAAAGATTCAGCATTCAATATGAAAGTAAACTATTTTTAAAATCAAGGATGGTGAGACTACAATGAATGTGATTAATGATGGGTTTGAGTCTACATTCCCTATGAAATTTTAATCTAGAAATTCCCTTTTTTCAACATGATTCTTTTAAGAAATGGGTTTTGTAACATCCATTTAGTTTCCCACTCAAATTCTGTAGCCATTAGGTGGAGGGGAGGATATCAGCATCCTACTATGATCAAATACAAAAAGGAGCCTGAGCCATGTGTTTCACTTCTTGGCAGCTGAAACTCTGCCAGTTTTGCTGTCATACCCAGCGTGTAGTCTCCTGAAGCATCTAATTTATCCTAATCTAATTTTGGTTGGCCAAATCAACACATTTTTTCACATACCTGGTAAGTACATTGCACAAATATAAACCAGGAATGTGGTAGAGAGCTAAAAATAATGCTTTTTCATGTCAGAAAAAAAAAGAAACGAAATTGGGTTTGCTCTGTTTAGTTAGTTACTTCTTTAATGGAAAGTAATAAAACTTTTAAGAAATGTGTTTACAGTCCATAGGGAATTTCTTACCTGTACTTGTAGGTGCTTGAAAAGTTGCTGGTGTGCTCTCTCCTACATTCCTCTTTGACTCTAGCATCTGCCTCACTGTGCCAGCATTTCTATGGAATGAAGTTTCAATTAGCATTTCTCAGTAAGTCACATCAGGTATATTTATGAACAGTACAATAGTGAAAAAAATCCCCTTATTTTAGAGCTATTCTTTCCATTCAGATTTTCTAAAGCCATTTTTTGGTCCTCATGCAAATTAACTTTGAATATTTTCCTACTAAAAAAGTGCACATTTATTTGTACATTTTCAAATGCTTTCACCAAGTTTGCCTTCCAGTATAAGAATTTTCTTGTTCTTGAAATTAAACTTCTACTTTTACCCACAATTTTTAACCACTGAAACAACATCCCAGTTTACCTAAGAATACATTCAATATTGTCAATTTATGACTTCTGTGGAAGTAAACTGAATTTTACAACTGAAGAGCAATGAAGGAAAAGGAAGAATACTTAAATAAATAAAAAAAAAAATACTAGGATTATCCATGATGTGAGGTATCTGAAGTATCCTACTGTAAATTTTAACATGGTCACAGCGATGTGGTTTGCTTACCGATACGTGGGATTGTTTGTATTTGCAGTGTCAGCTGCTGCTTTCCCTGGAGATGTAGGTGCATTTGCTGTATTCTACACCAAATGAGAGAGAGAGAGTGTGTGAAAGAAAAGCCACAACAACTCTAAGTCAGCTTGCAAACTTATGCTTTCATTCCAATTCATATCCACTCACTTTTGTGTGATAGATTCAGTTTCTGAAGCCAACACTGCAGGAGAACTTCACAACCCTCTAAAATCTCCTTAGTCCTACCTGCCTCCCTCTCCTATATCCTCTCTTTCCTTTTGCCCCTCCACCCCAGAATCAAGGTACTGGGATTCACTCTTATTTACACTGTACTCTTCATACTGAAGTAAATTAGATTCAGTTATATACAGTTTAAGGTGTTTTCATGCTAATAATGGCTAAAGAAGCTTTTGTACAAATCAGAATTACAAAACGGATGTTAAAAAACTTCTTTCATATCAGTGTCTTTAACCAAACCAGACAAACCTACTTTGTGAATGCCACTGAATAACCAAATCACATCTCTCTGCATATAAATTTTCTTTATTTTTCAACAAAAGGTTTAGGTTAACTCAGAAAAAGAAAACCAAACCACAACATTATGTAATTCTTACTTCCTGTCTCTTCTTCCAGTCCTCCTTGACTGTTCCAAACCGCTTTGTCAATCTAGAAATTTTAGCCTAAATGGGAAGAAGATGAAAACAAACAAAACCATAAATGTCCTCCCCAAGAATCATCAAAGAAATTATACAAACTAAAAGATAGATAACTAACACATCTAGTCAAAGACTATCTTGGTATGAGGGGAAATTATTCTTCCTTGAAATACAGTACAACTGTATTATTTCAGAACAGCAGAAAGACAAATCTGCGTATCACAATCAAGCTATCATAGAGACAACTTGAATTGTTTTCCTTCCTATTCACAAACTGAATCCCTCTTTCATGATCACACAAAACTCTACATTTATGAAAACCTTATATGATGTTATTAATTTGACAGTGTAGTTGATGGCTAAAGACACTGGTAAACAAGTATACTGAAAGAGTCTTAGCACTTATAACGTCAACATAAAATGTGTGGGGCAGCGAGAGGAAAGAGCTGTGTAGGAACTGGTCTGGCAAACTCTGTATTTCTTTTAATGCTAAACCAGCCTTATTGTTTGAAGTTGTTATGACATGAGCTTTAAATTGTCTTGTCACTTCAAAATTCTTTGATTTTTGTGATGTTCCTCATGTCACCACTATGTATTTTCTATAAGAATACAAGAAAGCATACGGCATTCAGCACTAGCTATTTTTTTTCTTGCTAATTGTTTAGTTTCTGGGTAAACAACATGTGATGTAGAATGTTCAAACAACCTCCAGTGGCATTGTGCTCTCCTTTCTGTGCTTTTCCATTTTTAAGCAAATTTCTGGCTTCATAGAGGCATTAGATATTTTCATACCTAGCATTTATTTGAAAAATGTCATCTAACAGAACAGCACAGAATGGAAGAGGAGAATGGAAAAGTGGTTTACTAGCAGCTAATGAATCAGTTTGCCAGAAGGAAGACCTGCTTTGGGTTTTTTTGATGATTAATTGGTTGCATTCCTCTTTCTGAGTAGGAAAATACAGTTTTACAACTCAAAAAGAACATCAGCATGTGCTGCTCCCCCACCCTCTTCTCTTCTTGCAAAGCCAAAATGGCTTCCCTATTGACAACTACAGAACACTTACTACTAAATACTGAGGAACTTATTTTTGAATTTGTCCCCAGTATGCAGCTGAACACACAAACACTCACCTGTAGTTCAGTAAATGCAGTTTTATGCCTCTTGGTACATTCAGCTTTCTCTATTCGGGCTTTCAAGTCTGCCAGAGTCTTGTCAAATACCACACACTGTAAAGTGGTAAGTTTTTCTTCTAACAGTTTCTGGATAACCTGCAAAATTATATAAAAAAATAACAACTCAATTCCAAAATTTGGGAGACCATCTATAAAAATATTCTCAACTCTAAGAGTTGAGTATCCTGCTATATCCTGATATAGCCAGTATCCTGCTATAAACAGAACAATGACAACTGTTGTGCCCTGTCAATCAAATAAATCTAGTCACCAATAAGTGTGTGGTTGCACAGCTAAGAAGTTTCTATATCCGCTTTGGCAAATACAAATGGTCCCTCTTTGCCATTAATTCAAGAAATTAATTTCACTGCTGTATGGTAAGTGCATACAATCTTACTGCATATAAAAAGAACCTTAACAACAGAAAATATTTTCCTCAAGTGCAGTGTTTACACAAAGTTTTCTTCTTACTTTTCTGTTCTTGAGAGGGACACTGGCATTCAAAGAACAGAAACTAAAGAAAATCAACAAAACCTTATTTCTGAGATGCATTTTCCCCTAGGAAAAAAGCAGTGTTGTTTTTCTTGCAAAGCTAAAAACAGAAAAGGACTGATTTCCTTGTAAACGTCTTACTTAAATTTTTTTCTCCCTTCTATATCTTTTGCAGTGCAAAAAAAATTTCTTGGGAAACCAAAATAAATAGGCAACAAACGTGGCTCAGTTTTTGCCATTTTTCTTTAATGAAGTTTCAACACACTAGCTAACTAATGGAAAAATAGCACCGTTTTTTTTCTTCAAGATCATAGGTTCCTTACACAGCAGTGGTGCAATCAGGCAATTAACAGTTCTACAAAAATCTGCAAAATGCTATGTTGATTGCACTCTTGTTTGGAGACACCTTCTTCAAAGCTAGGCACACAATAAAGCGCATCACATATAAGTTTCCCACACTGAAATAACACCTTTACCAAGATTCCCAGACTAGAGTCATATGAGATTTAAACTATTGTATACATTTCAAATATAACTCCTGCAGCATAGTTTTCAAATGATATTTGGTCTTTTCTTAAAAGTAGGGCAATGTAGGACTTTATACAAAATAAGCCAACTTTTGTTATTTGAATTACATCCAATGCTCAACCACAAAAAAGAGAAAGTGTTTGGGGCTGCAGGAAGCTTGTGGGCAAGGATAGTTAATTCAGAGATGGTAACACTAGTGACAGGTGCATGTATGCTTTTTTCTCTGCACCTCCATTCTACCTTTTGTAATTTTTGGTCAACATCCTTTCTGGCTGTAATTTTTACTTGGAGTTCTGCTTCATAATCTTCTCCCATGTACCGGCGGTGTTTAAAATGAACATCATCCATGTCCTCAGATTTGGAACGCTTTCTCTTTGATGCTTCACCTGGAACAATTACATACAACTGCTTGGTGAGGAACTCTTGAAAAAACAGATATCTGCAGAATGCCATGATTACTATGAAGTTTCATTTATCTGCAATTTAGGCTTTTTCATTCTAAACCAGTAAGAATGCCTTTGGGAAAACAACATGCTTGATGACAGCAAAGCAAAAAACCAGTCCCTTTGGTATCTGTACATTATTGCTCTGTGAGTTCTGCTTTGTGATTCACCAAATCACTACCCCATATGCAAAACGGCTCTAGTACCACCACTCCCTCCCCAGAATTTCCCTCCAGTTCTTCCGGCGCCTATCAGCACCATCCTATAACGAAATACGGCTTCTGAGAAGCGAAACAAAATCCTCTTTTGAAAAAGGAATCATCTAGGATTCCAGCCAAATAAAACTGCATCTCATTCTAACCGTGCCAGCAATGAACGGTATTTACCTGCCATGAAGTTTTAACCTGTACCTCCAACACCTGACTCAAAAAACATTCCAACTTTTTTCTTAGTTCTTGGGTATGAAGTAAAAATCTAACAAAAGAACAGGCCAAAACCAGAATTGTTTTATAAAAGTAATTTTCATCACAGCGATGAAGCACAAAAGAACCAAAGAGACCTCATTCACTCCTCCAGCTCCTGGCACTGTGTCCAGCAGAAAATTCCTGAGGACAGGAGTGACATCTGTTTTCATATAATCTTCAAGAAGGACAACAAGGACAAAGGGAATTACAGGATGGTCAGCCTTACCTCAGTCACTGGGAACATGATGGAACAAGTAATTCTAGAAACTACCGCTAAACCCATTCAGGTGGTGGTGATGGGGAATAGTCAGAATGGATTTATCAAGGATAAGTCATGCATTATCAGCTTCTTACCAAAAAAATTGTACTTTCTTCTAAAAAAGAGTCTATGTAGCAGTGGGGGAAGGTGTTAGAAAATTCTTTTAACTTTAGTACAATAGTGTTTTGACCCCTACATCTTTGACTAATAGTCTTGTGTCAGCTACTGATTCTTTATTTACCTGTATCAATGACTAATATGTACCTGCAAATATCTTACTTTTGAGAACTAGGATTGTGTGTCAGTGCAAAGAATTATGAAGTACGTTATGACATACTGACCTGACCCCATATTTAAGATACTCTCAAGGAGAAAAGATTCATTAGAACATCTGCAACCATATCCCAGTAAGTCCACAGAACTAATTAGTATATATGTATGTATTCAAGAAACATAATATGTAATAGAATTGTGATGAATATGTATTAGTGTCGTGAACATAACCTGGTCTGTCGGGTTGCTGGGTGTGCATGCTTTATGGAGCTATTCTCATGCACCCAGCATGCTGAATAAAGTAATGTGGGCTTTCTAACCTAGCAGCTCGTTGGAGAGTTTATTTCATGGTTTGCAGTGACAAGCCTGATAGCTGCCTATGGTGAGACAACTGGTTTGGTGGATGAGGGGAGAGCAGTGGATGCTGTTTATATTTAGTAATGTTTTTGACATTCAAAACATCATCAGAGACAAATTCAAGATGTATGGCCTAGATAATTGGACTGGCTCAACTGAGGAACTCCAAGAGCTGTGATTAGTGGCACATAGTCCAGGTGGAGCTCCTCGCTAGTTCAGTACACCAGCAGATGCTACTGGTACCAACATTAACATCTTCATTTATGACCTAGAAAATGGGATAAGAGGACAATTTGCAAATGATTCAAGACTGGAAGGAGCGATTGCTACACTAAATGGTTATACTGCCATTCAGTCACACTGACAAATTGGAGAAATGGGCAAACAAGAACCTCATGAATTTTAACAAAAGAAAATGCAAATTACTGCAATTGGGTAGGGATAAACACATGTACTAGTACAGGCTGGGAACTCACTGGCTGGAAAACAGCTTTGCAGAAAAGGCCCGGCTGGTCTTCATGCATATGAAGTTGAACACGGGCCAGCAATGTGCACTGAAGGCCAACAATATCCTTGGCCGCCTGAAGATGCCAGCAGGCTGAGGGAGGTAATTATTCCCCTCTAATCAGGAGATGTGAGACTGAACCTTGACTCTTATGTCCAGTTCTGGGCTTCTAAATACAAGAAAGTATACACTGGAGAGAGTGCCGTGTAGATTCACCAAGGTGTTTTACAGACTGGAGCATCCATCATGAGCTGGAATTGTTTAACTGGAGAAGGCCATTAGGGCAGAGTGAACAAAGAGCAAGACTCTTAATAAGCACCAGTAACAGGACAAAAAAAATGGATGTAAACTGAAATACAGGAAATTACACTCAGACATATAGAAGTTTTTTTACTGTGAGGGTGGTCTGAACACTGGAAGGTTGTGGAATCCCCACCTGGGGAGATACTCAAAACCTCTGTCTGGACACAGTTCTGAGCAAACTGACCTGGTTTTAAATACGGGCTTTGAACTAAATAATCATCAAAGGTCCCCTCCCACCTCAATGATTCTGTGCTTCTACTACAAACCACCCAGTGAAGCATAATACTTTTAACATTACGTACTTTTCTCTGTCTGTTTCTCTTCTTCTTTGTGGGCCTCTTCTTCTTCTTTATTCTCCTCACTCTCACTTCTTCTCTCCTCCTTCACCTCTTCTATAAACAGAAGAAAGAACTCCATGTGTTACTTAGACCTCCGAAAGTCTCATAATGGTTCTAGTTTGACTAGCAAATTCAGAATACTTATTAAAAACCATGTCATGGAAGGCAAGAGAAATAAGAATGACAGAAAGGGAATGCAGATATGAAAAAATAAGAGAATACCCTTAAAACAAAAATTTGAACTATCATCTAACACAGTAAGATTCACTTCTGAATATGCTTAGCAATAAAATCAGAACCATAATAACTATAATAACTGAGGTAACAAAATGTCTCAGTTACCTCTGAAATGAAAAGATGTATTTTTAAACTTAGCTGAAGTTCTCAACAAATTATTTTAGCTTATTTCTCCACATAGGGAAAATGTATAAAAATTTCAGTAACAAATTACTAGTATGTTTCTCTATTTACAAATGGCAAATTCAACCATAATCTTTATGGTAGAAAAGGCCTAGATTCTTCTTTGGCTAACAAATACGAATTTTCATTTAAAGTTCCTTGCTAATACAAATCTTTATAATACAATACCACAAGTGAGAACCAGTCATTTAAAATTATATAGTTTAGGAAATGCTTAAATAAAGAAAAACCTGAATCCATGAACAGACAGAGGTTAAAATGAAAAATGCTAACATTTCCTGAAAAACTTTATTATCTGTTCCATGACATTCCCTTATGTGTTTCATACAGTCTGTATTTGCTACCTCCTACACTGGCTAGATACAACCTATAACTATTGCTTTTAAGATTACATTAAAATCTATTCAGAATATAACAGAGCAACTCAGCACTGTGCTATGCACATCTTGTTCTGTACACTTCTTCTATTTTCTATACTTGTTTTGTCATTACACAGAGTTGACTACCTTTTCTAGGGAAAGTTCTGACTGCAAGGGTATGCTTGATGCAAAGGTATGATCTCTCTTAAGATTAAATTTTACTTCTATTATGAAGAACATCTGCATGATTTAAAACAAGTCAATAAATCAGAAAAAGGAATGAGTCAGAAAATAAAAATCTGATACGATGAAATTTTTTATTTTGTTAAATTTATGCAAGAAGTAATATTCAGAATATAAATTCTTCAAAGCAAAGCTGATTTACTTTTAAGGTAATAAAAACGGCATAGTGATTATGCCACCTGCCTTTTAAGACTTAAATATAAGCTTCATGTGTTTAAGTGTTACGAATAAAATAGGACTCATTTACCTAAGAATCTAAATGAGAGTCACTAAGTTCCAGAGAACATTTCCCACAATTCATGGATTTTAATATTCAGCTGAAAGACACAAACATTCCACAGAAAGATATACACACCTGGAATGTCTTTAACATATGTTACAAGCTTCAAAGTTAAGTTTTTCTCAGTTCTTTGTAGAGGACAAGTAATTTCAGGGATGAGGAAGTCCTTCCCTTACAAACTTCCATCACTGGGAAGAAATCTAGCTCATTTAACTAAAAATTGGTTTAAACACAATGCCCGCTAAACCTCTCTAGTTAAGGAGGAGAAAATTTTACAACTGACTATCAGCTTATTTTTCACTGAAAATTTGTGTGGATCTCAACACAAAGATACAAAGGTGTTTCGGGGTTTTTTAATCTTAACAGGGTCTAAAAACTTTCAGTGCCTGTTATGTCACTTTTAAGAAGATGGAGCCAGACTTACTGTAGAGGTGCATAGCAAAGCATAAGAGACAACACATGTAAGCAGAAATGAGAGATTCTAACCAATAAAAAGAAAAATGAACACATGAAGAAAGCCAGGTTGCCCAGAGAGGTCATCCAGTCTTATCAATGGAAGTTTTCAGCATCTTAACTAGATAAAGTTCTGAGCTACCTTGTCTCTTCCAGAGTTGACCCTACTTTAAACAGGAGACTGGACTAGAGACCTCTTTAGGTCTTCTTGTATATCATAAAATATATTAAAAAAATTAATCAAGTGAATCAAACACAAAGCGAAATATCCTTGTTTTATTTATTACATTTTAGTTGGGAAAAAAATCCATAAAGGACTGAAAGATTACAACTGATGAATCCAATATCCATTAGCGGACAGCTAGTTCTATCACAACATACAAACAAAACTTTATGCTTACTTATCTGCCACTACCATGTTCTGAAGTTCTCTTTTCAGAAGACAGGCTATACTCTTTTAACTGTTAACTGCAGGGATTTTTCTTAAAAGGTTGTATAGAGAAGCCTAGAATCTAGGTGTCTAGAATGCACTTGAAGTGATAGCAATTCTGAGAAAGACAGACTTCAGATTTGCTCTGGCAGAGATAATTACTTGGTCCAACTTGACAGGTTAGGTAAGAGACAGAACACAGCAACAGTTCCCCAAGGCAAAAACAACAGTTCACCTAATCCAAGATCCTACTTCCAACACTTTCATGTCAGTTGATCAAGGAAGGAGGAGTATGAGGAGAAAAGAACAATTACACACAGTCCTAGAAAACTTCCTCAGCTTTCTGAAAAACTGTGGGTGAAAGACTTCCAGAACCTTAGGGTTTCTGTCCTTGATAGCCTTCAAGAAAATTCCTCTTCCATGGAAGACAAATGTAGGTAAACTTCTAGCAGAACTCCATATTTCTCCACATGGGAAATCACCTCTTCTTTCATGCCTTGACCCTGCCTCTCACTTTTTTCCTTTCCTCTATTTGATACATGTGGTTGGTTCTTGTGGAGGAAAAGACAGGAAACACCTATTCTCCAGCTCACTTGTTGTTTTTCACATCTTTGTCATATCTCTACTCCAACTTTTTTACAGACTAAAAGACTCAACTGTAACATACATTCCATCTTTGTCTAAAAGTTCTCTTTCTGATATGATTTGAGTCAGGAGGTGAAGAAGCTGTAGGAGGAAATGACCTGACAATGTATAACAAAGAGGGGATAAGGTACGACTCCGCACAGGCAAAACCTCAAGCCTCACACAGTGCAAGGACACAGGGACAGCTAAAGGCTACACTCAATAATAATAAATAGAGATTTTAAAAATTGAGGAATAAGAAGCCTGTGACTTCCAACAACAGAATGAAGACTCCCTCTCTACCTGCAAATCTGAAGTTACTGAATGGGCATAGCACTGATAAAACATTATGAGGAACTGCTTTGCTCAGCCTCAACGAGTGAACACTAATTGGAGATTGTATCACTGCCTTCCATCACATAAAGGGAGGCCAGAGAGAAGACAGAACCACTACTCTTTGAGGTGCACAGCAACAGAACTGGAGGCAGTGGACGCAAGCTGGAACACAGAAGATGCCAATTAAGAAAGTTCTTCACTGTTAAGGCTGGTTAAATATTAGGCCGCCCAGGAAGAAGTTATGGTTTATCCATCCATGGAGAAGCACAGAAGTAAACTGCCAAGGTCCCTGAGCCATGTGATATAACTGGACCTGCTTTGAGTAGGAGGTTGAAATAAAGACCATCAGAGGGTTAAATTAAAATTACTCCATGATCTTCCCTGTTGCTTTTTCATGTACTTTTCCAATTCTGAGCTATCTTCTTTGACATGAGGAGTGGTAAGGAAAGAGAATTAACAAAAACATTTAAGACCTTGGTGTCTCATAGTAAAGTTTCCCTCAGCTTCTTAATTTGTTCCCAGCGTTCTTTACTTGCTTTCTTCAACTGCTGCTCTCTCAGTACTTCTTCAAAGCTGCCTTCTATAATCGTGGAAATTTTTTCTGAAGTGGTGAGTCAGTTCTACTTTCCTATCAAGTTTTGAATGCTTTTGTACTCATGTGACCCAGTTTGTAGATAACCACGAGTTTCATCTGCCATGTTTATCCCTCAGTCATTCAGCATTGTAAAATTCTTCTCCAGTTTTTCACAATAACAGCAGCAAACTGTCACCTCACTACTTACCATTCATTTTAGGCAAATTATTAATTCTGTCACACAGTGCAGTCTCTGGAACAGATAACTGCAGATTTATTTTTCATTCTTCGACTGATTATTCCGTCCATGGGGACTTTCTATCTTACATGAAGACAATTTAATTTCCAAAAGTGCTTGGTAAGAAATCAATTGTGCTTGGATATCCAAGAGAATTCAAATACATCAATCAGGTCTTCCTTATCATGTGCTTGTTTGCTTTCCCAAAGGACTCCAAGGTTTTCTAATGTATGATCTTTTGTTACAAAAACCTGTGACAACATAACTGTTATATTTACTAATTCTACCTGAGAAAAAAGTTCTCTTAATCTGTCCATTTGAATAAAATCTTCTAGTACCATTCTTCCATTGTTGTTTAGCCATGCTGGTGTTCATCCATGTGGACTTCTTGGAATCTTACTTCTTAACTGAACAGTTTGCACCTGTGCCTCCAACAGAGCATCTTGAAATGATCTTCATATGCTCTCCACAGTTTTAATTTTCACAGACTCTTTCCAGAAGTTATTCTTTAACTTCTAAGCTAACTCTACTTGTTTTCTCATACAATTGTTTCCTGCCCATGCAACCTCTCTGCTATTATCTTTGTTGCTGCTTCTGGACAGTGACCAATTTTCATTTTATGAACAGTCTCAGTTACTGCCATGCAACTGTAAAAGTCAAACTGTTATAGCTAATAAATAAAACAACTAGTCAAGAGAATTTGTTTTGTCACCAAAACTGAAAATCTGAAAAAATATTGCTGGATACAGGCAATTCAAACTTCAGCAAACAATAGTCCAGTATTTAGTATTAACTTCAGCCTTTTTGCTCAGAGCAAACTCCTCTGTGACTGCTGTGTTTTTCCCCTGGGTAAGATGGAAAAAGCAACCCTAACGTCTGCAGTGATAGAACCCTTAAACTGCAGAAGAAACTATGGAATCTACCTTATCTCTGTTTAACTAGCACAAATTTAAAGGTAAATACTAGAAAAGGAGGAGTCTGAAACATGGTTGAAGAGACATTCTTACCTCCATTTCACTAGCTGTTCAGAGACTGAAGACTCAGAATCTCACATTAGTGAAAGACAATCTCATCAAGAGTGAAACAAGACTTGATAAACTGTGGTTATGAATTTCCCAGAGACTGAAAAACACCTGAATCGTGTTTAAGCTATGGAATTTCTACCCAGTCAAGCATATTTAAAACCACTTAGCTTAGCATGGTCATCATTTCATAAAAAGCTACACAAGGGGTGAGAGGAGGGAGGACGAGAAAAGAACAACAGCAAAAAAATCCAACCCCAAGACAAACATCTCGATGAAACAACATCTTTCTTAATTACAGATAGAAGAGCAGTGTCAAGTTATCTGTAAATTATTAATCTGTTTTATTTTCACAAGTGCAATAGTACGACAAGGAATGCCTTATGTAAAACAAAGAAAAAAAGCTTACAAAACTGACAATAATATAGAGGACATCCATTCAGTTTAACTTAAACAATCTTCTGCTAACTACATGAAGAGATTAAAGTACCAGCTTCCCACACTTAACATTTAAAAGTATTAATCAGTTGCCATAGTTGTCAAAGTCAGATAAACCCCACTATGAGTTAAATGAATAAAAGCCTTGCATTTTTCATTAAACCTTTCCAACACTGTCCTCTAGTGAAAAAAAAGAAGTTACAACAAATAGGAGTTGTGGCATGCCTGGATTACAAATATGTTTTCCTTCTTACCATTTATTTCCACATTAAAGAAGACTGAAACCCTTTCTTCCCTGCAGGAGCAGTAAATTAATGCATTTCTCTTCTCACAAATCCTTCTGTTCCATCTCTGGCAATTACTCATCCTTCCTCTTTTTCCACCCACCACCTCACCCAAGTTTGCACCTAAATTTGCAAAGAGTATGAAAAAAAACCCCCAAACCAAAACAAACCAGATCTCTAAGATGATCGTTTTTTGGTGTTATGATAGTTTTTTCCTGGGCCTTTAAATGCCACCCTTGAAAACTGCAAGACAACATAACTAGAAGGTAACACTGCTTTTTTGATTCAGAAACATGAAACCAGTGTGTCATTCTAAAAAAAGAACAAAATCTCAAAGTTGAATAGAAACCACCAATTTAGAAAATTCTTACCTGGAAGACTTGACTTGTTTGGTACTATCCCTTCAGCCCGTTCCTCTTTCTCATCACAGGGATCCTCTTCGTCAGACAGTACTAAGAAAGCCTCTTTTGGCAGACTTTCATTGCTTTCCTGCTTGGATGGTGAACCCAAAGAGTTGTCTATTTTCTCTTCTAAATCTGGGGCTGTGTCATCCACTGGAAGCAGAGAACTTTTAGAAAAACAGCTCAGATCATCTTCAGAAGGGGCTAGTTTTTCCAAAATTGGAATAATTTCATCTGTTTCCATAGAGTCAGTATTGTCCAAGATACTTTGACTTGGCTCATCTGATGTCTTTGGAACAGTGGTTTCTGAAAGACCTGCACTCCCCTCTTGTTTTTCCTGGTCAGCTTCCATACTGCTAGAGATGGTTGCTTCTCCAACAGCCTCTTCAACAGTTACTACTTCAGTCCTCTTTTCCCCACCAGGTGAACTGGAATTAATGGTTATATTATTTGTTTCTCTCTTTTCTTCAGAAGAGTCAGTAATATCATAGACTGGTTTACTTTCACCTTCCAATGGGATGTCATTCTTATTTTGGTCCAAATTATCTGTTGTATTATTTTGTTCATGCAAGTTGTCTTTATTGCTACCAAGCACACCATTTTCTGCCTCACAAGCTACTGGAGTATCAGTATCTTTATTTTGCTCAAGAGTATTATTTTCTGGAGACAGTGTTAGACGTTTGGGTTCTGTGTCATTGAGTATGTTTCCTGCCCTACTTTCAGGGCTTTTGGCCTCACTAATTTCATCAGAGGCTGTTCTTTCTCCTTCCGAGTTAACACACAAGTCAACTATGCCATTAACTTCCTTCTTCTCCTCCATACAGTCTGAATTGCTTAAAGGGGAATTTAAATCAGAATCTCCATTCTCATGTTTTCCATTTAACAATTTCACTTCAGTTGTCTTCAACAGCTCCTCTTTAACCTTATAGACAGCTTCAAGTTGTTGTCGATCACTTACTCTCATTGTTTTTCGTGCTTTAAAGACTTTTTTCTGAGGTTCATCTGTGCTATCCATCTTGACTCTTAAAAAAAAAAAATAATTGTGAAGGTAAAAATTTATCATCATTATTAGTACTAGTCCTGTAGCATTTAGCACATTTTAAAGCAACCAGTTTAACTGTATCAACAAAACCCAAGAAACAACTGTCAACACAATTAAATACCTGACCTCACAAAAAGTGAATACAAGTTTTTATCTATGTTGCACAAATCCTTGTATGCAAAGATCACAGAAATCACACGTTAGGCAGTAGTATTCTGACTACACATTTTAGACCAGATGCCTCAGATACTTTACTAAGGCAAGAGTCAGCAGCCTTTCTTCTCATAAAAAAGTAAAAATAAATATGAACTGATGGGTCAAGAATATTTCTATCTTTCTGAAAATATGTAATTTCATGAGTTTCAAACCGAATTAACAACTGGGGGTGACAAGATTTTTGTACCAAGTTACTTTAAAAAAACCTTCATTATATAGAAAGAATTTCTGAACGTTTTATTAAGATAGTCTCTTTTGTACAGATAAAACAGACCTTAATCTTCCATATCTATACAATGGTTAACTGAACATGGGTTTTTAAAGCACTTTCATTCAGTTTGCAATAATATTTTACTAAGACTATTTTTGGCCATAAAAACGACAGGTGTTGCAGCACCTTGTAGAAAAATTTCCACTTTCAAGTAAAATGGGTGGTTTTGCCCTCTATACAATTATATTCACTTCATTCACCCACATAAATATTAAGAAAAATAAGAACATTTATAAAAAAACTAAGAAAAATAATGATAGAAAATACTTTATCAAATCAATAAATGGAGATAAATTCAGTATTACCTAAGAATTTACAATGATTTTGCTGAAATACAAGAAAATTTTATTTAATTTGTTTCCATTAAACAAAGCGAATCCACAGGGATTTTTAAAATATTTTTTCCTCACGTGGTCTTGCTTTAGGGCCTAGTTTTAAAGGATTATATAAGACAATGTTCAGAAGCAGAAAGCAGTTAAGGAAGTTGTTACATGCTAAATATAACTCAACTCTTGATTCAGCTGATGCTGACCAGTTCACCGCTACTGAAGTTACAAACCACCGTAAGTTACTCCTGTCTAGGATACAGCTTTTATTAAGTTTCTCAAAAACATGCAAAAATTAACTTGGGTAACTGTAGTTAAAAGACATCAGAGCAAGTAGAAAAAGAGAAAATATATCAGGCAGTTATCTCGGTATGATTTATTTTTCCCCACAAGCACCAGATAGGCAATGTTTATAACACTGATACAGCAGAATTATTAGACAAATAATACATTTTAAATATTTAGGATGATTCATTTTGCATCATCATCCAATAGACTTTCATTCACAGAGCTGAGAAATTAATTAATAAACTACATTTTGTCTTTTCAGGTGCAATATAAATTATTTTTAAAATTTTATTGATAAAAGAAAGCAGGACTATTGCCAACACTAGCTCAAATCAATGATGGTTTTGTGTAATCACAAGTTCAAGAGTGTTTGGACAACCCTCTCGGGCACATGGAGTGATTCTTGGGGTTGTCCCATGCAGGGCCAGGAGCTGGACTCAATCCTTGTGAGTCCCTTCCAACTCAGGATATTCTAAAATTCTGTGAACCAAGTCACAAAATTCAGAAAACAGATTCCACAGCCTCTAAGTAACAATTTGGCTCCACCCCACTTTGCAACAACCTTGCCTTCAAGTTCTATTTAGGCAGTCCTAAGAGTGCCCTTTAGCCTTGAGCGATTAAAGATGTCAAAGCTCCCTCAGCATCTCATCGAAGGTCACATGCTTAAGCTCCTATCACTTTGGATCCTGCTGGATCTTTCCTAGTTTACTTGAAACAGTTTGTTTATGAAGAAAATTATTTAACATTTATCCTCAACTGCAATATTCTACATTGTAAAATAAGAATATATATTCTAAGGTACAATATGAATTCAACTAACAAGACAAACTCTAAATCCCACTATCATGACGCGCCATACTTTACAATCATAAGGCTTCTTTTACACTCTGTTAACATGACCTGACAAAACCAGAGACAAAGCAGAAAGCAAATTTTTGCACTTCCTATTAACACAACATTGAGTTTCCCCTCCACCTTCTTACAGTTCTTTTCTGCAAGACAGTCTGGAATTTTTGGATTTGAGTTACTGACAGTACTTAAACAAGACTTCGACTCACACGTCTACGAACAGATCACAGAATATGCTGAGGTGGAAGGAACCTACAGGGATCATCGAGTCCAACTCTTAGCCCTGCATAGGACCATCCCCAAGAGTCACACCACATGCCTGAAAGCATTGTCCAAATGCTTCTTAAACTCTGCCAGGCTTGGTGCTGGGCCCACTTCCCTGTTCCAGTGCCCAACCACCCTCTGGGTGAAAAACCTTTCTCTAATCTCTAAGCTAAATCTCTTGATAAAAGGTTGTATCAGCTCTACTTATACAGTCTCAAGAATACCATTAAGACCTACGTTGTTGCCAATGTTAACTAGATTTTCTGAACCAGATTGTCTATTACTGCGTGGCCACTACTGGGAGCAAAACATAACACCTATAGAAACATCGATCTGAAACATCAGTTTACTTGTTCTTAGAAAATGTTCTCATCACATAGACATTTTCAATCAGATGAAATATTAACTCCAAGTGAGCTGTTAATGCATTTCCAGAGCTGCCTGCATGCTTAATAGTTTCTTCATGTTCCTTCAGAAGAGAACGTATTTAACACAAGAATTCTAGATCCGACATTGCAAAAAGAATGTAAAAACCTCTAGTATTTCTGAAGTGCACATGCAGTTTCTGAAAGCACATCCCTTCCGTCTTCCCAAGAACTCAGCATGTAAGGCACATTTTTTCACATCATTATAAAAGCATACGCCACACTCTCATGTAATAGAATACTGATAATCGTACTCATGTTCCATACACATAATCCCCTTCAACCAACATGCACGCTCTTACAGATTTTTATCTTGTAGAGCCAATTTGGAAAAAAAAAAATAGAAAATTCCAGCTTTGGCTAACCTTGAATAATTTCAAGGCTCCTAATGGGTGACCCATGAGTGAGAGTCTACTGCTAGTACAGTATGAGAATACAGGGCCTTTGCATCAAAATTACAACAGACAGTTTGATCTCCCAGACTACCATGCTTTCTTTTACAGGCATTACAAGAATTTACAAAACATATCACAATATTCACATTCTTACTTTTCCTATCACCAAAAGATATACTAACAGATTAACATAACATTTACAGACAACTTAAAATCATATTTATAAGTGCATCACTTTGTAATCAAAAAAATAAGTTAAAAGAAAGTCATATTTTCTGTTCTAATTTCTGTAATTACCCAAGTAGTTTTTCATTCCTATTTTTAACATTAGAGTAAATAAAGAGAAAATGAAAGACAGTTCATTTTAAATTTGCCAAGAATAGCAGTCTTAAAAAAAAATCAAACATCAGAATACCTTTATATTGATGCATCCTTACTTTTTTCTTTAAAAAATACTGAAAAAAACAGCTTAAATTTCTAATATGTTTAAAAATTATGTTTCTTTTTTATCCTAGACATTATTCAAAATCTAGTTAAAAATAACGCTCTTACACAGTTCTAGAAAGAACCTGCAAGAAAAACAGGCTTCTCAAAATTCCATTGTTAGATAGTTATTTGAGTAACTCGTGCATATTTTCAGCTCAATCCCACAATCTTTTGCAACCAAAGAGTATTCAATAAAAGCTACCAAAAAATATTCAATAAAAGCTACCCTAAGTGACAAAATTACAAGCACAGATGAGATGAACCAGCGTTTAGTGTTCATCTTTTAACAGCGAAATATCACGTAGCACAGCAGACCAGCCTTAAAGCGTTTCCAGCCATACCCACAAGGGAGCACAGTGCAGCCAAGGAACAGATCTCATGTGAGAGCTGAGTAAAAGAAACAAATCAATCGGTAACCAGTCCAGATAGGTTTGGTCACACCTCTGCAAGCCAATCAGGTGCCATCTGATAAACACTGCCTTCCAGCCTCTCAAAGGGACAAGGAGGCAGCCCTTCAGAGAGCAATGTCAGAGCAAAACTACATGAATTCAGCCTTGCACAAAAATAACGTTTAAAATTACTAGTGTTCTAAATGAATGTATTTTGGTAGTCTCCTTTAACGCTTAACATTAACATGAATTTAAGTTATGTTTGCTTAAGCACTTCCCTCATCTGATGCTTTGGGTGTTTTTTCTTTTTTTACTCATCTTGTGACCAAGTCACATGGAGGAAATGAGTGGCCCAGGCACCAAGCCAACGGAGGGGCACCTTTTATTTCAAATAAAGGCATTTGTATAGAACAGCACAAAATGACTCCTGCATGTAGAGCTACATGTGTAAGGGTTAAATGCTGTAAGTAAGGTGGTAGGTTTTGGGCTGAATTTTTTTGCTATGATTTTTTTAAACGCAATACTCAGTTTTGGAAGACCAGCACGCACATATTGTCTATATTTTTTGTTGTTTAGACGTGAAAACTCCCTTTTTCATTTTAAGCTTGAAAGTCATATACACTTCAGCATGTGAACAACTAACACACCACTAGGCACCTCCCTCCTGAAAATGTCTTTTGCATGAAGAAATGCGTGCTACATGGCTGCCAGTGCAGCTAGGAATACAGGGAGGTCTCTTCTCTAATCCAATTAAAAAGTTTTCCCTCTATTTCCTTATATTTTTTTTTTTACTATTATTATTCTGCAAAGAGATCACAGCTCTGAAGCAACAAAGGAAGCTATTAGATGCTCTGGATCAGCCTATGATCATGTGCTCAGGTAAGCAGCCCATGAGCAGCTCCAAACGTTAAGCCAATCAGCAAGGAGCTGCCTGAATCCTGCCTAGTAACAGGCAACAGACAAAGGGAAGGTCATGGAAACACGGGGGGTGGGAGAAGGTGCAATCTAAACAACAGTGCACAGTGGGGTTTACATAATATCATGGGTCTAGAACAGCACAGGCACAGGGTTCCTGGGGGGCTTGCAGCACTGGCCGGAAGCGCCACAACCATAAAATGTTTGCCAAAGCACAAGAACTACGTGGATGAAGTTCACCGATTGTGAACATCAGTGCTCAAATGTGCAAATCTACTTAAAATCTACTTAAAATGTGGCTTAGCCAAATCAAGGAAAGTGAGACAGCAAATGGTCATGAGTATTTTGTTCTAGATGGAGAGTTCCAGAGAATGAAAGTGGTGAATAGAACCTACCTTTTAAGTTATGGTTCATAAAAAGCAGTTCTCAGTTGAATTCCTCCACACCAACGTTGATATTTCAGAAATTTTAAAATTATTTTCAAAGAAAAAAAATACTGATTGTGACCTTTTCTTACAGAACATGTGCTAAAATAACATGCCAATAATTTGGTTTTCTACCGGTAATACAAGTCTACTGATCTGACTGAATGGAAGACAAAACACCAGCCTAATGATCTCCATATACAACTATGCCTTTGCTTTTAAATGCAATAAAGAAAGCAGAGGCCGTGATTATCATATGTGCAGATAATATTTCTTCTAGCATACCACAGATGATTTGAGTTTTCCTCCCTTTTAGGCTACAGTTAGTGTTGGCTGAAAGTGAAAGAAGGATGTACAGTTATCTAAGAAAAAATGACGTCACCATCCTATCCTATTTCACCTAGCTGCACGCACAGCAAGATCAGGTAAACGGCAATTAAGCAGCCCTCTAGCTAATCTGTCCCCCGTTCCAGAGGTGCGGGCGGCGGTGCGGGGCACGGGCGGTGCGTTCCCCTGCGGCGCAGCCCTGCAGTGCCGCCGCCGCTCCCCAGGGGGCGCCGCCGCGCCCCGCCGGCCGCGGCACCGCGGGGGGACGGCCGCCAGCCCCGCCTCCCATTGGCTGGACGGAGCAGCCACGCCGCAGCCAATCAGGCGGGAGCTCCTTAAGTTCTACCTAGCAACAAGCCCCCACGCGGCGGGCGTCGCGCGCGGGCACGGCCGCGGGGGCGCGCGCTAAGCGAACGGGATTTTCCAAACGGCCTGATGGAAAGTTAAGGGCTTTATGTGAGACCTGGAGCTGCGCAACAACGCTGACCCACGAGTGCGAGGCACGGGGGTGCACAGACATAATAAAGAAGAGGTGTTTAAAGCGCAGGAGCATTTTTAGGCGGTTTTAAGATCACTGAATTCCTGTAATACGGACTGCTGAATCAAAAAAAACCTGCCGAGATCCAACCTGGGTTTAAGTATGGCAGCTGGAAAGCTTTCCTTTCTTCAGATGCCATGCAGAGCCTGTGCTTTTCGAGTATCCCAGCAGAAAATCAGTATTTCGTCACGAGTGCAGTACGACCGACTTGCCTTGAAAGCAGAGGCCGTTCTCACCTGCCCTTGCAAAATACCTTCTGAAGTTCAGCAAAACATTTAAGTCCATGTGTGTATCTATGTCTAAGAAAAACACCCAAATCTATGGGTTAAAAGCTTCTGAAACCAGAATAAACTCATGGTACAGTTTCAAACAGGTTGGTCTTGTGTACTGTATGTGATGGACATATACATCAGTTACACTCTTGTCACTATGGCATCATTGTGAATTAAGAGGATACTGCTGCTTTTGACACTGGATCTTGAACCTGTTTCTCAAACCAAATTATTAACTACTACATGTAGTGATAACTACTACATGTAAAACACGTACTTTGGAACATAAAAGAATGGAAAACAAGTGGAGAGCCTTTCCTAGACAACTTTTACAAGCAACTCAAGTGCCTTAGAAACACCTATTTTTTAGCACATGGACCTTAAGCTGATTCTTCAAAGAGAGTTTTGCCTTTTTCCATAAACTACATTTTAACAGCTATTTAGACTATTAAACTAGTAAAACTGCTTGTCTGGAATCCAGCAAGAGCAACAGGGCTGTGATAATGTGTTCTCTTACTTCCCACAAGTGTTAGAGACTTCAACTTTTTATCAACAAGTCAAAACATAAGCTTTCAATTCAGCTGCGAGATCTCCAAACACTAAACAAATACTCCTGTTTGAAATAGCGGTAACAGCAAAATTCAGCTTTCTTATAGACTGTTTTTTTTTCAGTACAAGCTTAAAAACTATGTTTAAAAACTGTTTAGAAACTATGATTCTTTCCATAGATAAAAAAAGATTTACTGAATGCATATAAAGTTGAATTAATGTATTTAATATACATTTGTGGAGCACTATTATACAGAGTTTTAATGTTATACTGCAGTTCCAGCTTTGGCGCAGTTACTGTTATCCTTAAACAGGAATAGGACCTAATAATTCCATAGAAGTGGACACTAACTGCCAGAACACATCTACAATTAAAAACTTACCCAACTTCTTATATTCCAAACATAAAACCTGAACAACCTGAATTATTGATGCATATGCAGACTAAATATTTGAGAAACTCTGTGAAACTATTGAAAAAACCAAGGCAAGATGTTCTGTTCATGCTTAGGCTTTTCTAGGCATTATAAAATACAGTATTTTTTCCTTTTATAAGGAAATAATTTATAACTTATAAATTTAAAATTTATAATGTCACATGAAAATTCAACAGGCTACATCTTTGAGAAAGTATCACTAACGTATACAGATTTGCATCCTTTTGAGGCAGATTTCTTTACACGCCTTCTGTTAGATAAAATGCAGGATTATTGTAATGAGATAATTGATATATTTAGCCCAATAGTCCACATTTTCTAGACTAGTTCCTGTATCGCATATACAGCTAGCTGTAACAGTGTAACCTTGGTTTTCCAACACTGGCACCTCAGTGACATTGCAATTCAGAGGTGAGCTGCCTGATCCTGACAGAGGTCCCCTGAGATCACTTCTCAAATGCCAGGAGAAACAGAAGTGAGAACTCACAACAAAAAAGGCCATGATGTATTAAAACGTTACTCTTTGCTACACGTACAAGCGCTTTTTATGATTTTTTTTTTTTTTGCAGATTACATTTTCTCAGTCATAAAAAAGAAAGTTTTAAATGGAACTAAACCAGCAGTTGGGAGTTGGCTGTGGAAAGGGTTATCAGTATTTCCCCCGGGGAAGAGACACTGTTCCTCAGGAGGGGCTCTGCACCTGCTGCCTCGCCCGCACCAGACCTGCCCAGCACAGGCGCAGCACCCGGGGCTGGAGGGGGCACATCGTTTCCTAAACTCATCCAACTGAAGCCTGATGGGGACTCTCAGATTTGGGGGGCACGGAGGTTATTTAGGCGCTTTCCACGTGAAAGGATGAGTTTTTTTTCAGTGGGTGCCTGAGGGAGGCCAGGACACCGCCCCGGCAGCCATCTTGTTCCCTCACCAGCTCCCTGCCTGATGGCGGGGACTGCCGGAGATTTGCATACCCGCTCGGGATTGGCTGCGGGAGAGTTGTTTTCCATAACCCAAATCTGCCCGGCAACAGGCTAAAAATAGCCGGGGCTGCTGCCGGGAGCGGCTCGGCCCACGTGAGGGGCCAAAACACGCACAGCCTTCCTGTCGTGGCGGTATGTGCGGGCACAGCACACTGCACTTCCTCGGGAATTTTTTGTTTGTTGTTCCTTTTTTTTTTTCTTCTTTTTAATGGCAAAAATAATTTCTGAAGTAACTTCTCTCTTCAAATCAAAACATGAACTATTATAACTTGCAAATCCTCTTCTTCCTCACCTTCATTTCTAAGCAAGCAGGAACAGAAACAATGTTTCTTACTCTGTTTAATACCCCGTGTCAGTTTGGTGAGGTGGCAGTGGGGGTAATCCACAACACCCGCAACAGATACCACCTAATCCTCACTACACGTGGACTGTGTTACAGAGGCTGCTTCTTGGCTCCCGAGTTACCCTTCGGTATGTCACACCTCACCAGAGACCCACCCATAAAATTCCTCTACTGAAACTACACACGGTATGGAATTTCGAAAGGCGAGCACAATGAACCAAGAAAAAAAATTCCGTAAATACATAAGGCGCCTTGAGACTAGAAATTAAATGCAAAATGAGGTAATTAAAGCACAAAATTTCAAAGTTATTATGCAAATACATGTTCTATGATAACTCCAGCAATGATTTACATGTACAGCATTTTACCATTTCAGTCTACAAAATAGGTATCATTTACAGAAGTTAGATTTTCAGTACTACTGAACTGACAGCATAAACTCTTCTGACTGCAGCAGAAACAAGTAAAGAGATTTTCACACTTTTCACCACATCCACCCCCCAGGTTTCTGTTTCATGACTTGTTAGAGACAGGTGAGAGCCAACACTGTTAAGATGAATGGAGCACCCACTGCACACAGGACATGTACAGACATTTTAATACAGGTCTTCAGCAGCCTGAAAAGTGCCATCTGAAGTGTAAGCTATATTTATGCACCTCTGGTATGAAAAAATGTATTTTCTACAAGGCTGTCACAAGTGATTACGAAGAGAAGGAAGAAAAGTCGCTAAAGCAGATGGTCAATGACCACTGATGAGAGTTGGTATCTTCTGAACGACTCAAGAAAATACAATCACAAAAATTAACCAGAAATCCTAATGGGAAGGTAAAGTGAAGTAAACCAAATATTTGTATACAATAAAGCTTAAAAACAGAAAAAAGCGCTAAAACACCACCAAACAAACCAAAACCCACAAAAGAGTTACTTCTAAAAGTTAGTTTACCCAAACTTTATTACCTGTACCTAGTGTTAGGACTATTTGTCGCAAGTATTCTTTATTTTATTGGAAAGGTAGCTTACTCTATAGATGTTAGTTAGCTATCCTAACAAATTTTACTAGCAACTGTGCCCTGTACCACAAGCCATTTATTCATTAATCAGAGCCTAAATATCTTCCAAAAGAAACTGGAAGGTGGATGGGAATGATGGGATTTGAAAAAAAATTGAAAAAACCCCTGCCAACCTAATATTCATTACTAAACAGAAAAAAAATCAAAAAGCACGTTTTCAGTGCTGGTAAACCACTCCATTAATATGCTAAGGACCCTAGACAATGGAGGTAATTCATGTTTTTACAATGATAAACCATCACTCTATAATAAAATTCTATGGCAGTCAATTTCTTACTATATCAAGCATTCAATAATAGCGTAGGATTTATTTACTCTAGTAGAAGGGTACAGTGACAGGTTAAATTCTCTTGAGTCAATGAGTGGACAATTATTTTTCTGTATTTGCTGCTAGGCAAAGATTTGTCACATCTCAAACTTGTAAAGACTTGTAAGAAAAATTACTCATAGTGTCACCCAAATTGCACTCGAAACATTTCATAATCAAACACGTAAGCAAGCATAGCATAGATGATTCTTCAACTTAATCATGGTTAGAACAAGCTCCGCAGACACAGATCTCCAGACTTAATTCTTTGCTAAGCTGCCTAAGGACCAGGGAGCAGAAAACACATAAACCCAAGACAATTTCTTTATAGAGTTATAATCATAGAAATAAATGAACAGAACTACTAGGAATAGATTTTGAAATTATGTCACGTTAGTTTTAAGTGGCAAAGTTGTATTAATCTGCATCAGCAACACCTTAAACAAGCAGCAAAGCACAATATGCTCTGTTAATTTTTGAGGTGATGACTTACAGCTAAGGCTAATGTATTTGTCAGCTCATATGTACTCTGAGAAACAAAACTACTTGAACAAAAGCAAAGGAGGATGAGAGTAATGTCCTGAAAGTAATTATTCAGTTGACAGGAAAATCCTTTTGTACTTGGCTCTTTAAAAGAAGAAAAAATTTACTCTTCCTATTAATGTTTTAGAATGAACATGAATTACAAT